AGGTGATAATCAACCTTTGGTAGATCGCGCCAGACTCGTGGATACGTGCAGCAAGGGGGAGTTAGGTGCATATATAAGACTAATTGCCAGCAACATTTGCCTGTTATGTGAAGAACTCTTATACCAGCCTCTCCAAGACTTCAGCCAAAAGGTAGGTGATATATTTCATATAATTGCTATATGAGTGCCTGAGAATGTTTCAATCAACAACAGATGATGTTCACTTTGTGAGTTGTCATTGTATCAACCTTTATTGATGGATGGGACCAACTTCCAAACTAGTAAAATTTTCAGAACTATCAGGTGTTCAACAAATGGCTGAAGATTTTCTTGCCTTTTTGTGTAACCATGGTATTAGAAATACACTTAACTGGCTAAATTCAAATATGTGGATTTGAGGACATTTTGAAGAGAGCATCCAAACATGTCCCAATGCCCAATACAGTGAATACACTGATTGCGCATTTATTTATAAACCACATTATTAGGTGTACAATGAAGCCATTACGTTTGTACACAATCTGGATGTTTGTAGCAAATACAAGATATGCTACAAGTTTGTGAACAGATTTGAATTGTAAGTGTTTCTGATGAAACCAGTTTGTAACAGCCATATTTGATTTTTCTTCAATGTTCCACATTGTCACACAGGCCTTGGGTTATAACTTATATATATATACCATCTTGGTGTTTGTAATGATGTCAACTGCAAATCAAATAAATCTTTTCTTCAAACTTGGAAATCTGATTTTTCTCCTCAATAATGTCCCAATGATTAACTAGAGGCCCATAGGGCCTGTATCGCTCACCTGGATATTTGATCAATCATGACAAAAAATACATTTGCATTGTACATGTATATTACTCAAAAGAAGTTAAGGATCACCTGATTCTTTCATATTACTATAGTTAATCTCTCATGCCATGACAGATTAACTTTACCAATATGAAAGAATCGGGTGATCCTTAACTTCTTTTGAGTAGTATATATAATACTGCAAATATTTCGTAATTTTGACTGTAAGCATTTAAAAGTGGTGGGTGGCAAACGACAGCATGAATGTGTATTTCTCTAGATACAAATGTAGCATAAAGATCTGAACCGTTTCCATGTTGTGATCCAGGATAAATCATATTAAAGGTATTATTCTCTTCATAACAATCAAATGTATACAATGTATCTGTTTATTATAGGGTGGGGATGATATTGGTTTGCATGTTATGGTTAAGCTTCTATCTCCTTTGGGAGTGACGGACAGATGAACAGAAGGGCCAGTCCTGGTAGCGTACGTGCATTCCTCTCATTATACTCTCAATTGTACATATGGTTATACCATGTATACGGTGGGGATCTTAACTCCAAGTTATAAACTTTTTTTGGCCCCGCCCCTCAGCCCCTCCATTTGTACAATTGTGAATTCCCACCACCTGAGAATACTTCCAACCAAATATGGTTGATGTTCATCTCTAAGTTCCAGAGAAAAAGTCATTTAAAGCAATATTGCCAAATTACCTTTTTAGCCCCGCCCCTCAGTCACCGGTGGTCGGTGGTAGGGGTAGGGTTCAGCCCCTCCATTTCTCCAGTTTGAATCGCCACCACTGGAGAATGCTTCCAACCAAATATGGTTGATAACCATCTCTTAGCTCCAGAGAGGAAGTTGGTTAAAGCAATATAGCTAAATAACCCCTATTTGGCCCTGCCCCTCAGCCCCTTGAGGGGTGATCAGCCCTTCCATTTGTACAATTTTGAATTCTTACCACCAGAGTGAGTGAGTGAGTGAGTTGGGTTTAACGCCGCTTTTAACAGTATTCCAGTTATATCGCGGCGTGTCAGCTTAATGTGGGAGGAAAGCCCGAAGTGATGCAGGTCTCAGACGTTTGACACTTCGGTGAAACCCACGAGCACGGGTATGGTGCTGACAAACCTAGAAACATAATCGGGGCGAACCGGGCTTCGAACCCACAATCATAGGTTTCTGGCGTGTCCAAGGGACGCAACTCTGCACAGCGAATCGCGGCCCCTTAGACGACTGGGCCACTCGTGCCCCCTCTTACCACCAGAGAATGCTTCAAACCATATATGGTTGATACCTATCTCTTAGTTTCAGAGAAGAAGTCGTTTAAAACAATAACGCCAAATTACTCCTTTTTGGCCCTGCCCCTCAGCCCCTCAATTTGTACAATTCTGAATCCCCACCACCTAGGGATGCTTCCAGTCAAATTTCGTTAATTTCCAATTAGTGTTTCAAATGACCTAACCATGATACATATAAACACACACACAGTGCACAAGCAACTGTCATCAGATCATGGTCTATGAATAAATTTCAAGTGATTCCACGGCATTTGATCCTAGTTCTAAGCAATTCCTGTGTGTTTATGTATCCAAAAATCAAACAAATTTACAAATTTTACACTGTGCCTGCTAACGGACTGCTGTTTCCTGACTGGTTAATAACACAATGGGCAGGGCTTGTGTACTGTACTGAACAATGTCGCTGATTTTAACTGTGGTCTACAATTATTTTTGTGTTTATAATTAAATAAGTAGTCTGAAAAGTTGTTATTGCTCATATATTTATTTATAAGAATTGACTTCAATACGTTTTTGTGTTTATGGAGTTGCAAAAGTAAATATTGGTATGTGCACACATAAATCATATAATAATAATCATTCCCATCCCTACCCCCCCAAAAAAAAACCACAAAAAAACAACAACAACGAAACAAACAAACACAAAACAAACAAACAAAAAACATAATGTTACTAACCATTATCACATATTTGGTTAATTACTAATGGTTTACATATCATATTTGTGATATTTTGAGTGGACCCCACCCCGCCTCACCCCCAAACGAGGGTACCAATTTCCCAAGCAAAACACCCCCCTCATAAAAATCCTGGATCAGCCCCTGGCTTCCCAGCTAATTTTAACTGAAATTTTATTTCTGTTTGGAGGTGACACAGGATCAGAATAATCCTCATCAGTAATAAATGGCAATCTCATTAGTTTCAAAGGCTTTCTGTACTTTGAGTGAGTGTGCGAGTGTGGTTTTACACCGCTTTTGGCAATATTCGAGCAATATCAGGACGGGCGACACCGGAAAATGGGCTTCACACATTGTACCCATATGGGGATTTGAACCTGGGTCTTCGGTGTGACGAGCCAACGTTTTAACCACTAGGCTACCCCACCGCCCCCTGAACTTGAAGACTTAATACAGTTTGGGAGAGTGTGTCACCAGCATATCATCTGTGTCTGACACCACATTTGTAAAGGGACACATTAGGAAAATAAACATATCTTCTCCATACTGCAATCAGTGCCAAAAAGTGTTCCTCATTGTCATATTAGTGTTATCACATGGAGTTTAATTGGCTGATCCTCCTACACAGAACAGAATTTTACCAGACTTGGTATTGGGACAATTGGCTAGAATCGCAGACCGATACAGTAATCACTGTACTTGACATGCTTGAAACATTCACTTCCCTTTTCCTTTAAGAAATTCAGGTTTCTTAGAAAACTAAGTTGGCACCATAATTGAATGGGATCGGATCTTAAACAATAATTGCCACCAAATGCAAAGAAAATCCAAATCTGTCAAATACAAACTACAAACATTACAGAACATAGAAAGAAACCAAATAAAGCTTTCAACAAACAAATCCATAGCGTTTGTTGAGATATCTTGCTATCAAACACAAAGTTGGTACAATGTTTCCCATGACCTTGAAAAAAGTCATGGTGACCTTGTGTATAAGACAGAGTTCTGTGAGAGTGAGAGCCGGCAAAAGTGTGACATGTGAAGATTGGGTGCTGAGACAGTGACACCTGGGACAGCAAGTATGATAAGTGTGACATGTGAAGATTGGGTGCTGAGAGGGTGACACCTGGTACAGCAAGCATGATAAGTGTGACATGTGAAGATTGGGTGCTGAGAGAGTGACACCTGGGACAGCAAGCATGATAAGTGTGGCATGTGAAGATTGGGTGCTGAGAGAGTGACACCTGGGACAGCAAGCATGATAAGTGTGACATGTGAAGATTGGGTGCGGAGAGAGTGACACCTGGGACAGCAAGCATGATAAGTGTGACATGTGAAGATTGGGTGCTGAGAGAGTGACACCTGGGACAGCCAGCATGATAAGTGTGACATGTGAAGATTGGGTGCTGAGAGAGTGACACCTGGGACAGCAAGCATGATAAGTGTGACATGTGAAGATTGGGTGCTGAGAGAGTGACACCTGGGACAGCAAGCATGATAAGTGTGACATGTGAAGATTGGATGCTGAAAGAGTGACACCTGGGACAGCAAGCATGATAAGTGTGACATGTGAAGATTGGATGCTGAGAGAGTGACACCTGGGACAGCAAGCATGATAAGTGTGACATGTGAAGATTGGGTGCTGAGAGGGTGACACCTGGGACAGCAAGCATGATAAGTGTGACATGTGAAGATTGGGTGCTGAGAGAGTGACACCTGGGACAGCAAGCATGATAAGTGTGGCATGTGAAGATTGGGTGCGGAGAGAGTGACACCTGGGACAGCAAGCATGATAAGTGTGACATGTGAAGATTGGGTGCTGAGAGAGTGACACCTGGGACAGCAAGCATGATAAGTGTGACATGTGAAGATTGGGTGCTGAGAGAGTGACACCTGGGACAGCAAGCATGATAAGTGTGACATGTGAAGATTGGGTGCTGAGAGAGTGACACCTGGGACAGCAAGCATGATAAGTGTGGCATGTGAAGATTGGGTGCTGAGAGAGTGACACCTGGGACAGCAAGCATGATAAGTGTGACATGTGAAGATTGGGTGCTGAGAGAGTGACACCTGGGACAGCAAGCATGATAAGTGTGGCATGTGAAGATTGGGTGCTGAGAGAGTGACACCTGGTACAGCAAGCATGATAAGTGTGGCATGTGAAGATTGGGTGCTGAGAGAGTGACACCTGGGACAGCAGGCATGATAAGTATGACATGTGGACTGACCTGAAGACACCATTGTCCCCGGCATAGACTGTCTCGACATGGACACTCTCCGGCAACATGCTGACGATGTTGCTGCTGGCTGCAGCTACTTCTGCCGGAGATGCTGCCACTGTCGCACCTGTAGACATACAATTATATAGAATAACGCCACAGTGTGATATATGGCACCTGTAGACATACAATTATATAGAATAATGCCACAGTGTGATATATGGCACCTGTAGACATACAATTATATAGAATAATGCCACAGTGTGATATATGGCACCTGTAGACATACAATTATATAGAATAATGCCACAGTGTGATATATGGCACCTGTAGACATACAATTATATAGAATAATGCCACAGTGTGATATATGGCACCTGTAGACATACAATTATATCAAATAATGCCACAGTGTGATATATGGCACCTGTAGACATACAATTATATAGAATAATGCCACAGTGTGATATATGGCACCTGTAGACATACAATTATATCAAATAATGCCACAGTGTGATATATGGCACCTGTAGACATACAATTATATAGAATAATGCCACAGTGTGATATATATGGCACCTGTAGACATACAATGATATAGAATAATGCCACAGTGTGATATATATGGCACCTGTAGACATACAATTATATCAAATAATGCCACAGTGTGATATATGGCACCTGTAGACATACAATGATATAGAATAATGCCACAGTGTGATATATGGCACCTGTAGACATACAATTATATAGAATAATGCCACAGTGTGATATATGGCACCTGTAGACATACAATTATATAGAATAATGCCACAGTGTGATATATGGCACCTGTAGACATACAATTATATAGAATAATGCCACAGTGTGATATATGGCACCTGTAGACATACAATTATATAGAATAATGCCACAGTGTGATATATGGCACCTGTAGACATACAATTATATAGAATAATGCCACAGTGTGATATATGGCACCTGTAGACATACAATTATATCAAATAATGCCACAGTGTGATATATGGCACCTGTAGACATACAATTATATAGAATAATGCCACAGTGTGATATATATGGCACCTGTAGACATACAATGATATAGAATAATGCCACAGTGTGATATATATGGCACCTGTAGACATACAATTATATCAAATAATGCCACAGTGTGATATATGGCACCTGTAGACATACAATTATATAGAATAATGCCACAGTGTGATATATGGCACCTGTAGACATACAATTATAACAAATAACGCCACAGTGTGATATATATGGCACCTGTAGACATACAATTATATAGAATAACGCCACAGTGTGATATATATGGCACCTGTAGACATACAATGATATAGAATAATGCCACAGTGTTATATATGGCACCTGTAGACATACAATTATATAGAATAATGCCACAGTGTGATATATGGCACCTGTAGACATACAATTATAACAAATAACGCCACAGTGTGATATATATGGCACCTGTAGACATACAATTATATAGAATTATGCCACAGTGTGATATATGGCACCTGTAGACATACAATTATATAGAATAATGCCACAGTGTGATATATGGCACCTGTAGACATACAATTATATCAAATAATGCCACAGTGTGATATATGGCACCTGTAGACATACAATTATATAGAATAATGCCACAGTGTGATATATGGCACCTGTAGACATACAATTATATAGAATAATGCCACAGTGTGATATATGGCACCTGTAGACATACAATTATATAGAATAATGCCACAGTGTGATATATGGCACCTGTAGACATACAATTATATAGAATAATGCCACAGTGTGATATATGGCACCTGTAGACATACAATTATATAGAATAATGCCACAGTGTGATATATGGCACCTGTAGACATACAATTATATAGAATAATGCCACAGTGTGATATATGGCACCTGTAGACATACAATTATATAGAATAATGCCACAGTGTGATATATGGCACCTGTAGACATACAATTATATCAAATAATGCCACAGTGTGATATATGGCACCTGTAGACATACAATTATATAGAATAATGCCACAGTGTGATATATGGCACCTGTAGACATACAATTATATCAAATAATGCCACAGTGTGATATATGGCACCTGTAGACATACAATTATATAGAATAATGCCACAGTGTGATATATATGGCACCTGTAGACATACAATGATATAGAATAATGCCACAGTGTGATATATATGGCACCTGTAGACATACAATTATATCAAATAATGCCACAGTGTGATATATGGCACCTGTAGACATACAATGATATAGAATAATGCCACAGTGTGATATATGGCACCTGTAGACATACAATTATATAGAATAATGCCACAGTGTGATATATGGCACCTGTAGACATACAATTATATAGAATAATGCCACAGTGTGATATATGGCACCTGTAGACATACAATTATATAGAATAATGCCACAGTGTGATATATGGCACCTGTAGACATACAATTATATAGAATAATGCCACAGTGTGATATATGGCACCTGTAGACATACAATTATATAGAATAATGCCACAGTGTGATATATGGCACCTGTAGACATACAATTATATCAAATAATGCCACAGTGTGATATATGGCACCTGTAGACATACAATTATATAGAATAATGCCACAGTGTGATATATATGGCACCTGTAGACATACAATGATATAGAATAATGCCACAGTGTGATATATATGGCACCTGTAGACATACAATTATATCAAATAATGCCACAGTGTGATATATGGCACCTGTAGACATACAATTATATAGAATAATGCCACAGTGTGATATATGGCACCTGTAGACATACAATTATAACAAATAACGCCACAGTGTGATATATATGGCACCTGTAGACATACAATTATATAGAATAACGCCACAGTGTGATATATATGGCACCTGTAGACATACAATTATATAGAATAATGCCACAGTGTTATATATGGCACCTGTAGACATACAATTATATAGAATAATGCCACAGTGTGATATATGGCACCTGTAGACATACAATTATAACAAATAACGCCACAGTGTGATATATATGGCACCTGTAGACATACAATTATATAGAATAATGCCACAGTGTGATATATGGCACCTGTAGACATACAATTATAACAAATAACGCCACAGTGTGATATATATGGCACCTGTAGACATACAATTATATAGAATAACGCCACAGTGTGATATATGGCACCTGTAGACATACAATTATATAGAATAATGCCACAGTGTGATATATGGCACCTGTAGACATACAAATATATAGAATAATGCCACAGTGTGATATATGGCACCTGTTGACATACAATTATATAGAATAATGCCACAGTGTGATATATGGCACCTGTAGACATACAATTATATAGAATAATGCCACAGTGTGATATATATGGCACCTGTAGACATACAATTATATAGAATAACGCCACAGTGTGATATATATGGCACCTGTATACATACAATTATATAGAATAACGCCACAGTGTGATATATATGGCACCTGTATACATACAATTATATCAAATACTACCACAGTGTGATATATGGCACCTGTAGACATACAATTATATCAAATAATGCCACAGTGTGATATATGGCACCTGTAGACATACAATTATATAAAAAAAATGCCAGTGTGATATATGGCACCTGTAGACATACAATTATACAAAAAAATGCCACAGTGTGATATATGGCACCTGTAGACATACAATTATATCAAATAATGCCACAGCATGATATCGCATTGTAGATCAGTTTACATATTATCACACAGAATCACATGTTAGATAATGGGATAGGAGTGCTCAGCATGAGCCAAGGAAAACTACTGGTACCCATTCAATTGTCAAATAGCTGCCTGCTGCCAGCCAAATGCCAGTGACTCTTAACTACACTATCAGCTGTCGGACTTTCATTTTGTGGAAGCCTCGGTGGCTGAGTGGGTTAGGTTGATGATTTTGTGTGCTGGCGATTAGGTGCATCACTCTGGGACTCAACCCTAAAAAAGTATGAGAATCTGTACTTTACTAACAAAGTGTTATCCCAAATATAACATTTGTCACATTTGACCGCTTTCTAAATGCAATCACTGCATGGTCTGGTATAGGGGTGTCATGATAAATCAAAATATCGATATATTGCTATTGGTAAGCACATTGTTAAATCAGTTTCCGATCAATAGTATTTCAGGTAGGAATAACGATAGTTTCGATTGTATTTACCATATCAAGAAAATACATGCAATGCTGTTCAAATTTGTTTTTCATTTGATCATAAGTGGTAGTAATTTGCAGATGGTAATGTGAAAGTTTCTTTTTCTTAAATTATTAGGGTAAAGAAAAATGAATCTGTCATATCTCAAACTTTACTTTTTATTTGTTGCTATGGTTATCACATTCAAAGGAAACTTCAGTTCCAAGGTTTAATTCAACCCTAAAATCCATCTATAATGATACACTGAAAACTATCGATATTTATCACAATAGTTGCTTGCAATATCAATAGTTGTTGCAATAGTTTCTTTCAATATCAATAGTTATCGCAATAGTGATTTCCAGACCAATAGTTACCCTTAGTCTGGTACAGACTCGATTATTTACAGACTGCCGTCATATAGCTGGAATATTGCTGAGTGCAGCGTTAAACAACAAACAAACAAAACTTTCTAAATGGCATTGTGTGTTCATTTCATATCAAAGTTGACCCATATGCAGTGGTAACTTGGGTGTTTGCTGCACACTGTACACATGCATTATTAGCGAGGTGTGTGACACCATAAAAACCACCCTAAGGGTGAGACAAATGTAAAGTTCGAAGCAGCGAAGCAGCATCACCGTTGCGAAGAGTAATGATTTCAAAACACACAGAATACTATCTGGTTAACACAAAATATGTAGACTGTAGCCATAAAGTAGGGCAAGTCAAATATTGTTTGTGAACTAACCTTCCTGGGCAGTGAGCTTTGGAACTAATTCCTACACTGGTACCCAATATGCCATCACTGGTGTCCAATTTTAGTCAAAGAACACTGTGACAACATTGGAGCACAATTTAGCATTGGCACAGCACTGTTAATGCCAAACTTTCACAAAATCTAATACAGTGTTTCTGGTGACTTTCTTAACTGTTAGTTGTGAGTGGTTAAAGCGTTAGCTCGTCAGGCCGAAATCCCGGGTTCAATTCCCGACATGGGTACAATGTGTGAAGCCCATTTCGGGTTTCCCCCGCCGAGAGATTGTTGGAATATTGCTAAACCCAAACTCACTCACTCACTCACAGTTTGGGTTTAGCAATATTCCAACAATCTCTCGGCGGGGGAAACCCGAAATGGGCTTCACACATTGTACCCATGTCGGGAATTGAACCCGGGATTTCGGCCTGACGAGCTAACGCTTTAACCACTAGGCTACCTGACCGCCCCAACTGTTAGTTGCATGGCAGGCAGTATCTAAACATACACGTCCTTGCTAGTTTCATTTGTATCAATTACATTACATTCATTACAAATCCACAAACATAGATAGAGCATTGTCCACTTCGAAATCCCTTCAAGTTGGGAGGCATGTGCAATATACTCACATTTTAGGCTAAAAAAATAAAAGAATCGGTTCTGAGGCAACAACTTTTGAAAATATAGTGCGGACGGGAGGTGTTTTTGTTATTTTTTTTGCCTGTTCAAACTAGTATGTATCCAAATGAGTGAGTGCGTGAGTTTGGTTTAACGCCGCTTTTAACAGTATTCCAGTTATATCATGGCGTGTCAGCTTAATGTGGGAGGAACGCCCGAAGTGATGCAGGTCTCAGACATTTACCACTTCGGTGAAACCCACGAGCACGGGTATGGTGCTGACAAACCTAGAAACATAATCGGGGAGAAACGGGATTCAAACCCACAATCATAGGTTTCTGGCATGCCTAAGGGACGCAACTCTGCACAGCGAATCGCGGCGCCTTAGACGACTGGGCCACCCGTGCCCCCCATGTATCCAAATGAACAGTTGTGTACCATCAACCTGGGAAAGGGCCCATACATAAACAAGCATACAAACTCCATTTGAGGTCATTACCATAACACGAGATGCGTAGTAAAGCAGTGAGCATGTTAAGTGAGTGAGTGAGTGGGTGAGTGGGTGAGTGAGATTGGTTTTAAGCCGCTTTTAGCAATATTCCAGCAATATCACGGCGGGGGACACCAGAAATGGGCTTCACACATTGTACCCATGTCGGGATTCGAACCCGGGTCTTCGGCGTGACGAGCAAACGCTTTAACCACTAGGCTACCCAACCACCCGTGCATGTAAAGGGAAGTAACTATGTGCTATATTGGATCACATTGTTCTTAAGTATTAATATTAAATTTTTTTTTTGAAAATCGAAATAAAAATGAAACATGCTATTATTATTTTTTTAGCCTTAGTGTATTCAGTACAGATGATGTCAGAAGTCTCGGGTTTAAGCCAACTGTTATGTTTTACTGGTCAAAACAGTCAATAGAAACACTGCTAAAGCTTTCAGTCTGGATATAAAACAACCATTTGGATGTAGAGCTGGGACAGGTAACTCGGGTACTCGGGTCGGGTGGGTCCTGAGTAGGACCTGGGTACCCACAGAACTACCCGGACCCGTGGTTAGTCACGTGATATATATAAATTGTTTAATGACAAAAATTATTAAAACTCTGGTTACAATATAAGACACTAATGTTCCCATTTCTTTCTGACAATGCACCCATTCCTTCTTACATTTATATGTTTGAATAAAGATAAAACCTCATGCATTAAACTTCAGTGTATGCATGACCAAATCGTTTTACACATGTATCTGAATACATTTTGCCAAGGCTACGGTCAAACTTTTCCAAATCCGACAGTTTGTACCTATCTCTAAATATCTACAGCGGGTACTCGGGTAGGGTCGGGTAGTAAATTTGGACCCGTCCCAGCCCTATTTGGATGCATCATGGCCCAACTTGCTGAGTTCCCTGGTAGTAAATTTGGACTTGTCCCAGCCCTGAAGTGAAGCAACAGCACCAGTGGTTCAGAAGCTCATCTGATTTCATGAGTGTGTGTATTTGTGTGGTTGCTTGTACTACTCCAGACTAATGCTGGTTGTATAGTGCTAGCCCTTGGAGACACCATGCCGCAGTTTAACATGAATACCCCACTTAGATACAGTATACGGACTCCAAACCGACCAGTCCTTGTTTGATCCCCTAATGCTGAACACAAGGCAGGGAAACAACAATTACCAAAAGGCACAAGAGAGGAAGAGATTGCAGTGAATATAGTTATTAATGATATGCTACTGTAGTAAGGATTTGTTCTGTTGAAATAGTTTCGGCATACTTATTTAATAATATAGCAAGAAGTAGTATTATTGACAAATCTGTTACATCTATTGCATTTAGTCTTTATAAAAAACAGATTTTTCTTTACACTGCAATAATCATAACATGCTGAACAAAAACCCCAACTAATATTGGGGATAACTTTTTGTGGTGAAGATTGAGCACACATTTTCATAAAAATATTTTTTTTGTTCAGTGTAGATATTTTTTCAGCATTAATCATGTTAATACTAGTGGTGGGATGATACACCAATGCATCACAATCTTTTACTTCCCAATACAAGTATCAATCACAGTCCCACACTAAGTAAAAAATATTGATTCATACCTTAAACGTTTACTTTAATGGTTGTTCACCAAACACTAATTAGTGGTAAAATTTAGTGAAAAAGTAAATATTTTCATCCACTGTATTACTTGACACTGCCAACCGTAAATCGTCAGTGTGCCAGCTATTTGACCATCCTGTCATGGAAAAAGATGGCTTAAGCACATACAAGTAGCGTGATACGTATCGTATCGTGAACAAGGTATTATGATATATATCGGATCTCACGGTTGGTGTATCGTCCCAGCCCTAATACATACACACCTCTATTAAACATGTTTCATGTTCACCGAAGCTGAAACAGATCCACCCAAATATATTTAAACATTTACATTACATTGAATAAGGATATTCAAAGTTTGATCAAACTTAGAGTCGGTGTTACCACCACGATGGTTACTGGCATGACTCACCATCTTTCCGTAGTCCCTCTACAGAATCCTTGGAGACATCATACACAATGAGGGGGTGGCCCTTCTTGATGAGGTTGCGTGCCATGTGGTTGCCCATCAGTCCCAAGCCAATAAACCCCACCGGTTGCTGGCTGCCCAGAGGAGCACTTCCTGTAACGGAGCGCGTGAAGATTAGGGAAGAGGATTAGGTCTTCAGCAATCCATGCTTGCCGTAAAAGCCGACTTTGCTTGTCGTAAGAGGCGACTAACGGGATCGGGTGGTCAGGTTTGCTGACTTGGTTCATGCATGTCATTGTATCCCAATTGGAGGATCGATGCTCATGATGTCAGTCACCGGATAGTCTGGTCCAGAGTTGATCATTTACAGACCACCGTCATATAGCTGGAATATTGGTGAGTGCGGTGTTAAACAACAAACAAACAAATGTAACGCAGGAACATTCATTTTTGTTTGTTGTTTAACCACACTCAGAACAATTTCAGCTCTTTTTGATGACAGGCAGTAAATAATCGAGTCAGGACCAGACAATCCACTGATCAATATTCTGAGCCACGATCATTGCCATCATTTAACCAAGTCACCAAGTCTCCGATCCATGATAGCTATATGAATAATTCAATTCAAAAATAATCTGTGAAGATATATACCGGTATATTTTTATCTATTTTGTATTCGTGCCATTTTTGTTGAAAACATAGCACCAAGTGAATTAGTAATGGCATTGTACAAACCTGTAAATACATATCTAGTATACCTATCACCTTAAGTTTACCCATACATATATGTTCAGTATGCAGTGCAATGCACCTCTGGATCCATGTGTGACCCCCATACTTTAACAGAATTACAGCTAAGTGTTTACAAGGCTAAGTGTCTTGACTGCCTCTCATGTTACATAGCCTGTCAACTACTACTTGGTTACAATAGCAACATTTGTTACGCAGGTTTTTGTCAATTATTTTCTTGGGAGTAGAGTACCAGTGTTGCCAGGTTGAAGCTAGGAAGCCAGGATAGACAATGTTCGTGGCTTCAAAAGCTCAATGCTCAAAATCCATGCTAGGACAACTGGTGGGCTGGCTGGTATCATTTGAAGATGTGATCCTTCTCGAAAGCAAGGCTTACCCATAATTAAGGCTCTCTTGTTGTTGAGAGCTACTAGCTAAACAGCTCACTGCTGATCGACAGCATAGTTTGTGCACAGAACCTTTGATGAGTAGGCCGGGATAATGAGTTCAATAAATTAGCTGTGGTAACACCTTACCGTGTCACCAATGAAACTGTATTTCAAAGAAACTCGGAAATGTGATAAAACAATTCAGATTTACCTAAAATAACATTCTTCTTCAAGCGGCGAGTTAGCTCTAACCCTAACGCACAACTAACCCTAAGGATCATAAAGGGGTGTTCAGTAAGCAGGGTGTCCAACCCTAAGGATTGTGAAAGAGCATTTGATTAAAACGGGGTACCGAACTCAAATGATCATAAACGGGGTGCTTGAACAGAAAGTAGGTCCAAGGGATAGGGATCGATAGACTGTCATAGAACTGAGTACCCCGCTAACCCTAACACAGCTAACTATAACCCTAATCATCAGAGAGGCACTTAACATCAGCGAAGATCGAGATAGCCACACCGGCAGACCTGAGCTGAGGTCTTCAACAGAGATAGGCTACTACAGTGCCATTTGCAGAAAAAATCCTTACATAGAAGGATTTTTTTGTAATAAAACTGTCAGGAGGTCAGTACCTTGTGGTCAGCAGACATTCTAGAGTTCCTCACCAATCACTTGGCAGTATGACATAGCTATTAACAAATAAATAAGGTGCCTATAGCCAGTAAAACAGGAACAACGTTTGCATAACAAAAATATTAATTATGGACGAAATATTGTATTCCACGCTGTCTTATGGACTGTGACATGTCTGTAAACAGGACAGAGCTAAGGCAAGGGATCTTAGAGTACCTTTTTTCTCATACTTTCTTTGATTTTCATAGAAAAGCTGATAGATTCTATTCGACCGTCGTCGACATGCTCACGAACTCATAAGTTACGCTTCACTGAATAAGCCAGGTATCATTGGGTATGCCAATTAAATGAACGGTGTCACGCTGCATAAATATTGGAAATGGTAATAATGCCTAGAACCTATTAAATATACCTGAAAACAAGCGCACAAATGATGTGCATTTTGATGTTCGAACAGAGAGAATGCTGAAGCGAGAGAACCGGTTCAATGCCATGTTGACTGCCGCACGGAGGTGTGTCAAGGACGTTTTGTGCCCCCTATCGGCGGGTTAATGAAACGGGATAACCCTTTCCGAAGCGCACATAAAATGCCATACACTGTGAGCAATGTTAAAGTGGAGCTGTGGGCTTCACACATTGTATCCATGTGAAGAATCAAACCCGGGTCTTCTGCGTGACGAGCGAGCGCTTTAATTTAACCACGAGGTTACCACACTGCCCCTAACTCTAACTTCTTCCTTTCTAACTTTAAGACCAGTGACCCATGCTTGCTGTAAGAGACCACGAACGGGATCGGGTGGTCAGGCTCGCTGACAAGGTTGATGCATGTCATCGTAACCCAACTGCTTAGATTGATGCAGATGTCAATCACTGGATTGTCTGGTCCAGACTCGATTATTTACAGACCGCCGTCATATAGCTGGAATATTGCTGAGTGTGGCTTTAAACAATAAACAAACAAACAAACAAAACTCTAACCTACAGTTGTTTGTTTGTATTTGGGCACTCATATGCTGGGCCTGCACACCATGTTTCATCAATGTTACCCTTGATTTGTTTAGGTTGGATGGACGGAAAACATAAGGGCATTAATATCGAATATCATATTATATCGATACTGAGCAGTTGGGTCATTCGTGACCATCTCGTGTTATTCCGGGACAAGCCGAATAGTCTTCTTCTTGCAGCATTCGTGACCAACTCGTGTTATTCCGGGACAGGTTACGGAAATGGTCGAGTGGTGACGAATGCTTCTTGCAGGTGACGGAAAGGGGCGAGTGGTGACGAATGCAGTTGGGTAGCCCAGTGGTAAACGCGTTGGTTAGCCACGCCAAAAATGAGTTCAATTCCTCCCATGGAATCACGTGAAGTGAATTATTTGTGCTCCAGGGGTGATGTGGCGTTTAGACTTTGCTCACTCACTACACGAATTGGTCAAGTCGTGAAAGGCGCCACAATTCACTGTGCAGTGTTTTGTCGCTTAGGCGTGCCAGAAACCTATGATCGTGGGTTCGAATCCCGGTTCGTCCTGATTATGTTTCTAGGTTTGGAAGCCTCATACACGTGCTCGTGGGTTTCACCAAAGTGGTAAACATCTGGGACTTTGTTGCACATTTCCCATTTGCTGATAATCATTTCTTAAGACAAGATGATTTTTGAATTGATAAGGAACCGATGTTTTACGTTTGTCGATTTGAGAATAATTGAATTTAAATTAAATTAAATTTTTATATTCGTGTTGGCACTTATACTGAGTTAAATAAAGATACAAAACACAAACACTCTCATTTTAACATATTCACTATTCAATACTTTCAGTTCAAGGTAAAAGTAATTACTTTACTGTAATCAATATAACATTCGCCAGTAGTTTAAACTCCATAAACATGTCAATTAGATCATGGGGCGGTCGGGTAGCCTAGTGGTTAAAGCGTTCGCTCGTCACGCCGAAGACCCGGGTTCGATTCCCGACATGGGTACAATGTGTGAAGCCCATTTCTGGTGTCCCCCGCCGTGATATAGCTTGAATAGTGCTAAAAGCGGCGTAAAACCATACTCACTCACTCACTCAAATACATCATATTACCATTCAGTGCAGACTTTAATCTGTAAGGCGGCCGATGAAATTGTCTCGCCATCGCAAGCAGTCGTAAAATATGTCATGATCACCATCAATATCTCTGGTTTTCCTCATGCCTGTGGGAGCAACACAAGCCGAACAGCGCAGTGACCCCTTCAGGCGAAACTCTTTCTTAAACTGATACTCACAGTGATGTACGCTGTAAGTATTATTGAGTCCGTGACCGGATATTTACATATCGTGGGACTAATTTGAACACTGATTGAAACAACTTTCATTGGGAAATTTAACATAACCGATAATGAAATCGAGATCATGGTATTATGTTCTTCGTGTGTTACCAGTCTGTCTTAAATGTTAATGATTAATATACTTACGATTTTATTATTTAATCACATTCTGTATACCATCTCCGAGGACAGGGCAGTTATTTCGAGAGCTATCATTGCAGGAATGGTTCTGTATGTATTAAAGGACTTGCAATCTGGATAGACTATAAAAGTCGTCATTTCCCCTTTGTCGCCGATAGAACTATGCTATGAGTTTATGGACCCGTCCACTATTCCGTTCATCTAATCAAGGGGGCACGGGTGGCCCAGTCGTCTAAGGCGCCGCGATTCGCTGTGCAGAGTTGCGTCCCTTGGGCACGCCAGAAACCTATGATTGTGGGTTCGAATCCAGGTTCGCCCCGATAATGTTTCTAGGTTTGTCAGCACCATACCCGTGCTCGTGGGTTTCACCGAAGTGGTAAATGTCTGAGACCTGCATCACTTCGGGCTTTCCTCCCACATTAAGCTGACACGCCGTGATATAACTGGAATACCGTTAAAAGCGGCGTTAAACCCAACTCACTCACTCATCTAATCGATCACCCACCTTCCATCTGTTAGCACTGAATTTAGGACAAAAGATTGATTAGCATGATGCATTTATATAACTTCCATACAGATAATGACATAACCACATGTTCCAGATAAATCATGGGCCCGTGAAGATCCGGGGTAGATTAGATCTTCAGCAACCCATGCTTGTCGCAAGAGGCGACTAACGAGATCGGGTGGTCAGGCTCGCTTGCTTCGTTGATGTATGTCATCGATCCCAATTGCGTGGATCGATGCTCATGTTGTCAATCACTGGATTGTCTGGTTCAGACTCGATTACTTACAGACCGCCGTCATATAGCTGGCATATTGCTGAGTGCGGCGTTAAACAACAAACAAACAAAACAATAAATCCAGGGGTCCCCAAGGGGCTCGGATTACATGAGATTATATTGTTATACTATCAATCACTCATACAGAACCTGATTCAAAACTATTCGAAAATGCATAAGCAAGCCTACACTACTTTTGCAAGTCCATGTTCTAAGAGATATATTGGGCTAATTTCTATTATGTATAAAAAGACACTTTACCAAAAAAACAACAACCTTAAAATAGTTGTAATTCAGAGCCTTATATCTTCCCTAAATACAAATATATCAAATACAGCTCATGCAAGTCTATAATATTTGGCAAGTCTAGATTACTGAAGAGAGTCTCTGGGCTCTCTTTTTATTATATTTTTATTAAGAAAATCTAGCAACTGGCATAACAAGGACAAGACATAATAAGGACAAGGCATAATAAGGACAAGACATAATAAGGACAAGGCATTATAAGGACATGGCATAACAAGATCAAGGTGTAAGAAGGACATGGCATAATAAGGACACGGTCTAACAAGGTCAAGGTATACAAAGGACAAGATATAACAAGGTCAATGTATCATAAGGACAAGGTATAATAATGACACGTTTAAGAAGGTCAAGGTATAATAAGGACCTGACATAATAAGAATAAGGTGTAATAATGACACAGTATAGTAAGGACAGGGCATAATAGGACACAGCATAATAAGGACAAGGCATAATAAGGACAAGGTATGATAAGGACAAGACATAATAAGGACAAGGTGTAACAAGGTCAAGGTATAATAAGGACAAGATATAACAAAGTCAAGATATAATAAGGACAAGGTATAATATGGACAAGGTATAATAAGTACACGGTATTATAAGGACAAGGCATAACAAGGACAAGGCATAATAAAAGGCATAACAAGGTCAAGGCATTATAAGGACACGGTATAACAAGGTCAAGGTATAACAAGGACATGGCATAATAAGGACACAGTATAACAAGGTCAAGGTATAAAAAGGACACGGCATAATAAGAACAAGGTATAATAAGGTCAAGGCATAATAAGGACAAGACATAATAAGGACATGGCGCAATAGGAACAAAGTATCTAAAGACAAGGTGTATAAGGGCAAGGTATATAAGGACAATCATAATAAGGACAAGGCATAATAAGGACAAAGTATATAAGGACAAGGTATATAAGGACAGGGTGTATAAGGACAAGGTATATAAGGACAAGGCATATAAGGACATGGTATATAAGGACAAGGTATATAAGGACAGGGTTTATAAGGGCAAAGTGTATAAGGGCAAGGTATATAAGGACAAGGTATATAAGGGCAAGGTATATACGGACAGGGTATATACGGACAGGGTGTATAAGGGCAAGGTATATAAGGGCAAGGTATATAAGGACAAGGTATATAAGGACAGGGTGTATAAGGACAGGGTGTTTAAGGACTGGGTGTATAAGGACAGGGTGTATAAGGGCAAGGTATATAAGGACAAGGTATATAAGGACAAGGTATATAAGGGCAAGGTATATACGGACAGGGTATATACGGACAGGGTGTATAAGGGCAAGGTATATAAGGGCAAGGTATATAAGGACAAGGTATATAAGGACAGGGTGTATAAGGACAGGGTGTTTAAGGACTGGGTGTATAAGGACAGGGTGTATAAGGGCAAGGTATATAAGGACAATGTATATAAGGACAAGGTATATAAGGGCAAGGTGTATAAGGGCAAGGTATATAAGGACAAGGTATATAAGGGCAAGGTATATACGGACAGGGTATATACGGACAGGGTGTATAAGGGCAAGGTATATAAGGGCAAGGTATATAAGGAAAAGGTATATAAGGACAGGGTGTATAAGGACAGGGTGTATAAGGACAGGGTGTATAAGGACAGGGTGTATAAGGACAGGGTGTATAAGGGCAAGGTATATAAGGACAAGGTACATAAGGACAAGGTATATAAGGGCAAGGTGTATAAGGGCAAGGTATATAAGGACAAAGTATATAAGGGCAAGGTATATACGGACAGGGTATATACGGACAGGGTGTATAAGGGCAAGGTATATAAGGGCAAGGTATATAAGGGCAAGGTATATAAGGACAGGGTGTATAAGGACAGGGTGTATAAGGACAGGGTGTATAAGGACAGGGTGTATAAGGGCAAGGTGTATAAGGGCAAGGTATATACGGACAGGGTGTATAAGGGCAAGGTGTAAAAGGGCAGGGTGTATAAGGACAAACAT